CTCAAAACTCAGGTTTATCTGATCCTAAAATCCATGTCCCTTCTACTACACTACATTGTACAGTATCAGAATGAATCTACTAAATTCTATTAGCAACTATATCTCTGGTATTCATTCGAATTATTTACATTTGATGTTAAGAGATAACCATATCTATAAATGATAACCATAGCACATAAGGATTTTACTATGTATATTTATGCTTTTAGGACCCAGAACAGAACTCTAATTCATCTGAATCTAGGATGTAACGAGTTAAGTTAAAACATTAATGCATTATATTAGGTTAAACACTAAAAACTGCTACTAAAATGATGTCTCAGGGAAATCTTCTTCAACCCTCCTCCGGGATACTGGGCAGCAGAGAAAGTGTTCGATTTAATTAGCTGTGTATGTAGAAAGAGATGCTCATCTGTTTCCATGGAGGCAAACTCATCCCTGACATACTTCTCCATGGAAACAGAGAAGGGAAAACAGAAAATGCTAAAGTGAATGAATTCACTGAACAGTTGGTGAGCAAAGATTCAAGAAAAACAGAAAACATAATCTGTAGTACTATGCTACTAATTTAGAAAAAAAGAAGCATGTGCTAAATAAAAGAATGGATATGATACATTTAGTTTATATACTTAAGATGAAACAGTTATTATGTTAGTAGGAATAAGCAAATGTTGAGAAATAACGCAGAGCAAAGGTATTACTGTTTTGCACAGAAGACATAATGGCAGAATTCTTTGAGATGAGCAGTGTTACAGCTCAAAGTCAGTAATGAGACAAGATGATAGAAAACATAGGGGACCTACTTACAAATAAATTTATCACCTTTATACTGGTTTCACAACATCATTTTGCTTATCTTATTTGTTTTAAGGATTTTTCTTAGGGGCTATAAAATTACAGAAATATTCCAAATTTTATTTTTTGGCATATTAGTTAATTTGTATGACTGAGCCTGTAAAAGTATTTTTAATTTATAAAATACTACATGTTCTGTTTCCTTTCAAAATTATACTTTTCATTAAAACAATAAAGAATCTCATTTTATAAGGTATTTCCTCTTAGGTATTCTGACTGAAATTTTTTTTCCCATTGACATTTAGTCCTAACCTGCTTCTCAATTCAATTAGATTCAACTCAATGCACATTTAAATGTGGTCCTCAAGCTGAAACTGGTTTGGCTCAATGGCTAGAGCATCGGCCTGCGGACTGAAAGGTCACAGGTTCAATTCTGGTCAAGGACATGTACCTTGGTTGTGGGCACATCCCCAGTAGGGGGTGTGCAAGAGGCAACTGATCAATGATTCTCTCTAATCGATGTTTCTAACTCTCTATCTCTCTCTCTTCCTCTCTGTAAAAAAATCAATAAAATATATTTTAAAAATAAATAAATATATGTGGTCCTCAAGATGATTATGGACTTCTTAGAAGGCAAGATATAATATTTATTCATTTTTTTTTAACAATTATAATATTTATTCATTTCTTTAACAAATATTTCTATTGTGCGTACCAAGTGCCAAGTACTGTGCCAGATTTCGTGGATGTAGTGGTAAATTAAACAGACACTGTTTACTCATGGAGGCTACTAGCTTATAAAGGAGAAACATAGCTATACATAGAAATATAGTTACAATCTGAGACAAGGTCTATGAAAGAAAACGACAGAGTTCCAAGAGAGAACACAATGAACAAACTCCCTGAGACTGGGTGTTCACAGCAGGCCTCTTAGAAGAAGAGACTTGAATGCTGAGATCCGAATGATGACTAAGAGTTAGTCAGACAGAGAACCAGAGACCAGAATTTTAGGCAAAATCCTGAGATGGAAAAGGGCTTGGTAGGATTGAGAAACTAAAAGAAAACAAGTGTTTCTAGAATAAGAATGGTGAAAGGTGAGGTGGGAGAGGGGAAAAGGCAGAGGCACACTTTTAAATTTTATTCCAAATACAATGGGAAGCAATTAAAGAGTTTTTGAGCAAGAAAACAACAAAATTATATACACAATTTTCAGAACAAGTGACCATGGAAAGTTTAGCAAAAGTAAGTTCAGAAAAGCAGAATGAAACTATAGTATTTAAGATCTATATTTAGGTGGTGAAACTACAATGTAATCACTACCAGAAAAGTTGATAACAATTATTCTAAGGGGAGGGAAGGATGTATTCGGGACTTCTGGGGACCAATGTTCTGTCTCTTGAATGGGTTACATGGATGTTTGCTCTATATTTATTTGTTAAATTGCACATTAAAGTCTTATGTATTGCTCTATATGTATACTTCAAAATAAGAAAATATGTTTTGTTTCCCTTTAATACGAGTGGTAAAGCAGTAGGGACAATGGATACAGACAGCTAGAGAAGCTTGGTTTGGTGAGGGAATAATAATTGCCTCCATACACATTCTCTCATTTTTATTTTCACGAATTAAGCACCCTGAGTTTTAGCTGGGCATGACATCATCCAGGGAGAGGCTTTTTTAAAGCCTCTTCTGTCCCAGGTGTGGCTCTGTGTCTAAGTATAGTCCATCTCCTGCATGACAAATAGCTTTCCTGCTGGCTGGGCTATGACTGCAATCTATCTGCCTTTGACTCAGAGACAGAAGCCACATGTTGAGAATGGCAGAGCCAAGCCCTAACAGCATCCCAGGAATTGTGTGAATCAGAAGTGTCTATTCACCTTAGATTGCCCAATTACCTTTGTACTATATATTACGAGAATGAAATATACTTGTATCTTATGTAAGTCACTTATATTTTTTATTTTTTAAAATAACTATTTATTGTTGAAAGTATTACATATATCCCCCTTTTCCCTCCATTCACCTCCCTCCAGCCCACCCCTCCCCCCACCCCCAGGCCTTCAGCCCCCTATTTATTGTCTGTGTCAATGGGCCATGCATATATGCATACAAGGTCTTTGGTTGATTACTTCCCACCCACCCATCCTCCCCCACCTTCCCTCTGAGATTCTGCACTCTGTTCCATGCTATGAGTCTCCGGATCCACTCTATTCATCAGTTTATTTTGTTACTTAAGATTCCACATACAAGTTTGATCATGTGACACTTGTCTTTCTCTGACTGTTTAAGTCACTTTTACTAGTGTGGCAGCTTAGTCTGCGCACTGATACAGTTATGAAGGAAAGTTGAGAGATATGGTAATACCTAGAGGGGGATGAAAAAACAGGGAAGGAATTTCTAAATAACGGATACAACAGACATGTTTAAAGTTGATGGGAAGAATTATAGTAGAAGGAAAGGTTAAAGATACAGTAATGAGATTTTTTTTAAATGGAGCAGATGGGAAGATGGGAAGAGATAGAATACAGAGCATGTGTGAAAGAAGTGACCTTTGACACAAAGGGATATTTGCTCTGTTTTAGCAGAAAGAGAGAAGATGATGGGTGAAGAGGTAGGCTGATTTGTAAATATCTTGCTGAAAGATGAGAGTTCCTATTTAAAGTCTTCATTTTCTGTAGGAAACATAAAGCATTAGGTGAGTATGGAGGGAGGGAGGGAGAACTGGCAGTCAGAGGTTTGGTAGAGTGCAAACATATGAAACCCTTATTATGGAGAAATGTGGTATTATGAGCAGAAAGTGTGGAGTGACCATTTGAAGAGGGTAATCATGAATTTAGGGTATACCAGTCTCCCAGAAAGGTGAAATTGTTCAGGAGTTGGCAGATGTAGATGGATTAGGTCCATTCAGAGCTGGGATTACAGCAGCTAAGTGCAACAGAGGTGAGGAGGAAAGATAATTTTTCCAAGAAAAGGATTTTAATAATAGGCCATGGAATCAGGATTGAATACAGAGGAACATAAAGACAGAAGGAAACTAAGAGTTGAAATCAAAATAAAATAAAACAAAAAAAGAATGTGGAAGTTTCAATGACACTGAAAAATTATTGCTCTTATTAGTAAGTGAGCTGGAAGTGAGAGAGTTTTAGTTGAATGGTGAATGTCTGAATGATTGATTCAGAAGTAATAAAGATGTCAAGTTCTCGGGAGTAACTGTGAATGTAGGAAGATAAGGGGGAGCTAAGTTATCAGGTGATAACATCCCTAACAGAAAAGAGAAATCTTCGCAGTGTGTGGTAAAATAATTTTGTCTTTAAAGATAAGTTGGAGATTGTTCAGTAGAGAAATGGGTAAGGTGAGGAGAAGATAGAAAAGAGGAGAGGAGAGAGATGTACAGGGAAAAGTAAGAACAAATTCTTGGCATACTGGGGAACAGAAAGCCTCGTCAGAAGTTAGGGTGCCTGGGTAGAAGTTCCTGGAGAAACCGGAAAGGTAGGATGAAAATAAGTTCTGAAAGAATGGGTATGAAAATCCAAGTAGTGTAGATTTTATTTTTAAAGCCCAAGTTGTCAGTCATGATGTCACAGACACTGGTGTGTAAAATGATCACAAATATATATTTTTATTTTATTTATTTTCTTTATGGCTAATGACTTATGAACAGGTGAATTTCTGGGGTTTATGACTCTGAAAAATTCTTACCCATTTTGTCCTTGAATACTGTCCCTCTTCTATTCACTTTGTTCTCTTTCTAGAACTTCTATTGGACCTATCTCTATACATATGCTAAGCAGGACACTGAATGAGTGTCCATCAATCAATGATAGGAAGATCACTAAATCAATTTTAAATCATCATAATTTAAAATATTTATAAATGTTAGTACCTTTGGAATATATTAAATATAAAGATCATTGATTACTATCTCATTCTAGATCTCTGTTATTACAAGGATGAATTACCTTAGCATACATAATCCAGATTCAAAGCCAAATACACAGATTTTTTTCAAGTACTTTTCACCTAATTCTAATCCATATTTTTAAGTCCCAGGATTTAATTTATTGTTTAAGTCCTGGAACAAAATGTAAATAATAATGTGTTTTCATTAAAATGTGTAAGTACAGTGCAAATTAAAACTAAGATTAACAGACTTCCTTAGGACAAAGAGTTAACTTTTAGTTTCTGTATTTACAGGGACTACTTACCTATGATGAGCCTGTGAAGAGCACCCTTATCTCCATTAATAGCAGCAGCATGAACTTGGGATGCTAATGAGGAGCCAGTAAAGAACAAGTTCTCTGATCTGTTCATAGTCTTCTCAGCAACTGAAGAAACCTGAAACAATTATTGAAGCCAAGAGCACACGCAGGAAACATTTCTAAAAGTTGTCTCATTCGATGGAAATAGATATATTATAAATACAAAAATTCGTGCACTGGGGAAGGGGGTCTGTCAGCCCGGCCTGCCCCCTCTCACAGTCTGGGAGCTCTCAGGGGATATCCTACTGACGGCTTAGGTACCACGGAGAGCGGAGAGCGGGCCTAAGCCAAAGTCTGGCCTCCCTCTGTGGGAGGCAACCAGGCTAATCAGGAGAAGGCACTACGCCCATCACCCAGCTGCTGCTGCTACTGCTGGCTGCTGTGGCTTTGTCCGGATGGATGTCTGAAAGATGTCCACCCTAATTAGCATATTACCCTTTTATTGGTATAGATGGTTTATTAGAATCGGTGACTAGGATTCAAAAAATCTGCAGCCCTAGCCCTAGAATTGCCGTAATGTGGCAAATTGAGTGACCCTTTGTTTAAGTTTCTCCTCTTTAATATGATGGGATTAGATGCTCCTAAAACCTTTCTCAGGGGCTATCCTGGGAGAGAAAATTGGGGGGTGGGAGACTTGATATTTAACATTAGGTACAGTGCCCCAAAACCACATTGATTTTTAAGTTAATGCAAGTAATTTAACTCCACATAATATCTAACATTAGAATTGATATTGGGGAAAAAGGTAATGGCCAAGCCACAAAATAGGTATGATGTGAACGTGTTAGGTCAGAATTAACCAGATGTGAGTGCTAAATTAAAACCTAGTTCTTTTTTCATGCAGATAAAAGACAGAACTTTAAGGCAGAATTTAATATTTTTATTTGTTGTTTCCTTGTCCCCATCAGGGAAATACACCTAGATCTTACTTGGAACACCACATCATTAGAATTAACCATGTTTCATAAGGAAATTTTTGTTCTGATTAGTAGATTGATATGGCTGCTAGAACTATCTAGAAATGCACTCTGTGCTTAGGAAAATAGTGAGTTCTCTATCAGGATTGTTTAAGCAGAGGCTGGATTATGTGAGAAAAGCAGCAAGAATTCAAGCACCTAATGGGAAAGGAAGTGGGGTAGTTGCATCAATGAACTTAAACTTCCTTCCTAAGCATGTCCCATTAAAGCTGAATGCCTAAATGGATCAGGGAGGTTAAAAACTGTCAGAAACACGGAGCCATGGGGCTCAGGCACACTGGAGCACACATGCAGCTATTTAAAGAGAGCAGCTGGTAATGAGCACATTAATAGCTTCCGTAAGGGTAGGCAAGGCCCTCTTTTGGTTTTACCAAGGAGCATCACTCCAATCTTTGTGACACCCGAGAATCTGAAAGTTTTGTAAGGTAAATGATCACTACTGATGAGCTGGTACTGTGTTGTCACTGACAGGGATTTTTGGTTCAGATGCTGCCTTAGAATGGAAGTGTTTCTTAATTTTGGTAAAGGTCAGCCCTCTGTGCCTTTATTTTCATGGGCGTTGTGAGACACTTGTCATGTATAAGCATGTCTAGGTCATGTCAGAAAAACCACTGTTATATGCAGGCTATATTAAAGTGACTTGAGAGAAGCTACAAAACAAGGGTGGAGGTAGAAACACAGCAGAGAAATAATTGCACTAGGGCTGTAGGCTCTGTTCCATTAGTAATAAGCAGTGTGTCCTTTGGCTACCTCAGCTCTCAGACTTCCTATAAAATATGAAAATGGAAAAGGGAGACCACATCGACTCGTTCAACAAGTACTATGGATGGAAAAAAAATAAAAAAGGTCACATGCTAACCTGACTAGTTCAGGGAAGGCCATGTGCATGGCGGTTGTGCAAACTCAAAGACCTAAAGTAACCACAAAGGTCTGAAATTAAAGATTTAACTGAAAGAAGTTTATAGTGGGTAGTCATGTCCTAGGCCAGCATTTTCCCTGACAAAGATCAATGTCAATCGAACTTTACTGAGCCTATTGTCTTTTTGCACCTAAGATAACAGACCTGTGAAATGTCTGGGTAACTTGCAACTCTCCTTTTTTCCCCCCCCGAACCCCTGAGGGCACAACAAATGGCACCAGGGCTGGAAACCACAAATTCCCTCATTGTTTATTGTTACCATATTGTCAGCTGTTAACTATGTTAACTATCCAGTATCCATCTATGTACAAGAAGCATATGTGCATCATTTCACTTTTTATCCAATCTCAGAGGTTTCCCCACCAGGTCCCCCCACTCCGTTTGCTTCCTCCCACCTGCCTAATCTATCACCAATGGATTTCATGTAACCCACTTACATCTTCCCCTTTGATGATAATTTATAAAAACAAGGTAAAAACAAAACAAAAAACAGCCATTCTCCGGAGCATTATCCCACTCTGTTGAGATTTTGCTTCTCGGCAATTGACATCAGTTTGGCTCAAATAAACTCACAAAAATTCTTTACAGGTTTGAATGTTTTTACGTTAACAGTACCAGCTATGTGCTAGGTATTGTTCTGAACTCTAATATATGTAATTTTAGATTCTAAGTGTTCATAGTTTTACTAGTCAGGACACTTAACTACAATGCTTGGTTCTGCCACTATCTAATTTTGTCACCTTGGGAAAGTGATTTTCTAGGTGTTTTTTTTTGGTGTTGTTTGTCTTTTTGGCTCAAAGGTATTACTGTAGCGCTGTTTTTTGTAATCATATTTATAGGTGAAAATCAAAACCACTTTGTTAATTATAAAATGCAAAGGCATCATCATCACTACTAATTGTAAAACAAGCCACTGTAATAAACGGTCTAGTAACTTATAACTGTACAAAACTAGTGGTGCTGTAAGTCACAAGCAGTTCTGATTAGCACTAAAGGGTTGGTTGCGTGGGAAGTTTTCAGAGGCTGTGACAAAATTTTAGATGAAAATAAGGCCATTCCAGGCAGCAGGAACGCTGGAGCAAAGGCAAGGCATAGGGAGAACCACAAAAAAGAAGAATGCACCCAGGTACTTAGTCGTGATTGTTTGGCTACCATTCGGGGCAGGTGACCCGGCTGGGTGTTTGTAGAGGAGGCTGGAGAGCAGAGGCCAGGTTAAGATCCTCAACCGGCTAATGAGCTTCGTTAATTGTTTTGTGGGGAGCGATCGGTCATGCACGTTAGCGGCACTCTCACGCTTGAGCTTCTGTTTACAACGTGCTTTCCCATGCTATCCCACATCTCCTTTTACGAGCCCAAAGGATGCGTCGTTTACTTATTCAACTAAGGCCCCCAGAAGTGGCTCCGACTTAGCAGGAATTAGCGCGGAAAGCAGAGGCAGCAGGCGGGGAGGCCAAGGATGGAGGCTCAGGCCACAGGCAGGGCCAGGAGGACCATGAGTCTCAGGCAGGGGCCAAGGCGGTGCGATTGGAGTTTTTCCAACCAGGCACCCTACTACTCACCCTCGCCTCCGCCAGGACTCGCGTCCCGGGGGCGGCCCCAGGAGGCACGACCCCCACTGGGCCGCCCCACCCGCCGGGAGCCAAGACCGTCCCTACATCCGGCCGGGGCAGAGCCCCCACTGCGCTAAACCTAACGGGGGTCCCTCTGAAGGCCGCTGACTCTGGACCGCACCACCTTTTGGGAATTGTAGTTCCCATCCTTCCGAAAACACAGGGTTCTCCTGCTCTCCGCCCTTTCTATCCCACAGGGCCTCGCGCGCGCAGAGAACCCAAGTACACCCGGGCGGAGAGCCTGATGGGAAAAGGAGTTCTGGATGCGCGATGACGTGCTCAGCGGAAGTAGCCACGGACTACGTTTCCCGACCTGCCCCGCGGTGGGCGGGACCCGGAAGTGAGGGTTGAGAGGCCTCTCTGGAAGTTGTCCCGGGTGTTCGCCGCGGGAGCTCCGGGTCGAGAGGACGGGGTGTCGCTGCCGGGAGATTCCTCCGCTGCCGCCGGCCCCCGGAGCCCATCCCATTCCTAACCCAGCCCAACCTTTACCCGGTCCCCGCGGCCAACGCCTGTCCCTGCCGCGGATCCCGGCGTTACCATGAATCCTGCCGTCTTCCCAGCCTTCTCCGACTTGAGATGCTCCCTGCTGCTCCTGGTGAGTGCGGGAAGGAATGACAGACCCTCCGACTGACGCGCGGGCGGCGGGAGGCCGTCGCCGACGGGGAACACCTCGGCCCCTACCCCGGCTTTCCTATTTTTTTTTTTTTTTTTTCCTTCGGTGGCGAGAAGTACACCCTCCGATGCCGCATTCGTCTGTCCGCTTTTCAGGCCCGGCGTCCCCGAGGCCTGAGAAGCCGTGGCCGGCGCTTGGGACCCGTAAAGGGGAAGATTAGCCTGGGGAGAGGATCCGTGGGAGGGTCGCAGCCCGGCGCTCCTCCTCTGTGCCCGGAGTGTGGAGGTGGTCTCGGTGTCGAGGGCTCCTGGGCCTGGTGGTAGCCCGATTCGAAAAGGACGGGGGGGTGGGGTGGAGTAGACCTAATACTCTTCCTCCTCATCACCTCCTTTGGGGAAGGGTGAGGCCGACAGTTGCTGGGGTCGTGTGAATCTCACTCTGGAGCCCTGAACCGGTGCCCGGGTTGGCAATGCTCTCTGTTGTGGCTTGATATGATTGGTTGGGAACCCGGAACTGGAGGCTGGTTTTGGTGTCCAGTGGGGAATAAAGGTTGGAGGCTGAGATGACTTGGAAGTCCTGGGCCCAAGACCTCCCTCAATTGTTGTTACAGCCCCTCTCCCAAATTTAAGCAGAGTTGTTCTTTTTAGTGCTTCTTATTTGCGAATGATCGCTTTTTTTTTTTTTATATGCATGCATAGGTGCTCATTCCTTAACTACTTCTCCTGCTCAACTGCATCCTATCTTATAAAGGAATCTTTCTTTCCTCAGTCCCTTTTCCTCCAAAGTACATCTTTGAGTGTGTCCTCCAAAGTACATCTTTGAGTGTGCAACCTAAGTAATGCATCCATGTTGCAGGGCAAATTGAGACAAAAGTGAGGGACTAACTCCATATGGAAAAAAAGGACATACCTTTGATTGCAATGTTATATAATATTTGAAAAAACTTTAATTGCAAAGTTTTAAATATGATTTTATTTATTTCAGAGAGGAAGGGAGAGGGGAGGGGAGAGAGAGAGACAGAAACATAAATGATGAGAAAGAATTATTGATCAGCTGCCTCCTGCACGGAGCCTGCAACCTGGGCCCTGACCTGAATTGAACTGCAACCTCCTGGTTCATAGGTCGACGCTCAACTACTAAATCACGCCCCCTGGGCAATTGTGGATTTTTTAAACACCAAATTTAAGATGGATATTAAGTTAAAATCACTTTCTTTACAATTTAAAAAACATGATTAAGTCACTCAGGAAGTCATGGTTATCAGGAGAACTGAGACTTCAATCGGGTCTCTTGACTCACAGTGCTTATTTCACCATAGTACATTAAATTTTTTATTTTGTGTTTAAAATAGTTTCTCCCCCTTTCTCCCTCTCCCCTTCTTCTCACTTACCTCTGTGATTTTTCAAGTCATACATGAAAACCATATACAGTATTAGCTTGAACCTTTTCAGTGGAAGAGCACTATAAAGAAAACTAAAGGGGCTGGCTGTGAAAATACATTTGAGAACTAATAACTGTATATAAATGTGTTAGTATTAAATGATTAAGTGTCGTATTGCCACTTACATAGCAATGAGTGATTTCTGTATATAGGAAAATATTCTTTATAAATTTTCATTATACACCTTTTCTCTTTTCCTTCTCATTGTTATTAGAGAACAGTCTCTCTTTAAGGACACTAGATAATGTTATTTTTTATATCCATATAATGGCCTGAAATATGAATTGTCTGCCTTTCAGTTACAAAAACAAAAACAAAACAAACAAAAAAACCAAAGGGAAAAAAATCTTAAAATAGTGGAAAGAAAAGCTGACACTGAATAGAAAGTTATATCAGATGTACTTTTTTGAAATGGTATGTTTGATTGGAGAGCTAAGTTTAAGAAGGAGCAAGAATTTGTTTTTAAATAATTCATGCTTTTTATAGAAAACCTACAAATCCATTAAAGATAAAAGAAGGAATTTTTTTCTCCCTGGCAATTCTAAAATCTAGTTAACATTTTGCATCTTTACCTAAGTAAATGTAGAGAAATAGAAACTTAGAAATCATTTTAGAAAATATCTGTAAGATTAATGAATGGAAAATAAAGTTTAATAAACCAGAATTACAAGACATGCTGGATTCAGTTTAAACACAGTGCTTTCCAAAGTAGTTTTAGCAATATATACCAGTTAGAAAATATTTGTAAAACATCTATCTGGTCATAATGAGTTATTTATCTAACTGGAATTTATGTCTCAGAGATGGGACTTGCTTATTTGGTACCTGTTTGAAAATATGTCCTTTATCTTCCCCAAGGTATTTTATTCCTCCCCCCTCACTTATATCAGATTGTTTATTCCCTCCCATGTACAGCCATTGAGTATTCACGTTTCCACCTAGCTGAAGTAATCATTTTTTCCTTAAGTGGCCAGTTCTAAAAAGCCACATATTCTCTTACAACAATAATTTTTTTCTGGCAAACTATACCTCAGTCTTAAAGGACTAGATTTATCCAGACTTAGTGCTATTCATAAAATAACAACTGAAACGTATAATCCTAAACATCTGTAGGCAAGTGGTTTCCCCTGATCTCAAAGGCATTTTGGAATATCACTCTGTGCCTAAAATGCTCATTGTGTCCCTGGCTGGTTTGGCTCAGTAGATAGAGCCTCGGCCTGCGGACTGAAAGGTCTCAGGTTTGATTCTGGCCAAGGGCACAAGCCTGGGTTGCAGGCTTGATCCCAGGAGGGGGCGTGCAGGACGCAGCCAATCAATGATTCTCTCTCATCATTGATGTTTCTATCTCTCTCTCCCTCTCCCTTCCTCTCTAAAATCAATAAAATATATTTAAACCCCCCTCTCCCATAAAACTCATTGTGATCATTTTTCCTTGGGCATAAATACAAAATTATAAAAAATGTACAAAAGATACACATACAGTGATATTTACTGAAAATCTTCAAATATATCCTCAGGTAACTTTTCTAGAATTATATTTCTTGGATCCTATGGTATGTCAGTTATTTAGGATTTCTGATATATTGTACCAAATTGCTCCACTGAAGAGTCTACCAATGTGTATTCCTCACACTAAACAATCAGGTGTTTTGTTATATGTGCCAATTTAGTAGTCCAAAACAGTATTTGACGTAAAATTTACATTTATTTGATTACCACCAAAGTTGAATATTTTTCGTATTTATTAACCATTTATATTTCTCCATGTGTATGTAATGTATGTGTTCACGTTATTTGTCCCCCTTTTTTTAAAAAAAAAAAGTTTATTTTTACTTCCTCAGGTAATTCAGAATAGAATAGTAAGTCAGAATAATTCACAAGATACAATTTAAGAACAATGGAAAGTGTTATTTGTTCATTTAGTGTCTGCTCAAGAGGTAGCATAGTGCAAAAAATTCTGAACTAGATGTTTGGGCATTTATATACGGGTTCCAAGTCTTCCATTTACTTAATACTGTAACCAATCTAGGATAAATCACCTATCTAACTTCCTTTGTAAGCACATTGAATTCAATGATTCAGTGATTCTTTGTGTAGTCTATCTTGTATTTCAAAAAGGAAATTTCTCTAACTCCCCTAATTAATGGAGTTACTATTTGACTGGGTAGTTCCTCAAAAAAAAAAGAAAGTCTGCTAGCTTTTCAACATGTTGCAGGTCTGTGCCCCTCACTCTGTTATTCAGTGTAAAGAAAATCATGCTTTGGTCACAGCACTCCTGATATTGGCAGTTGCTGTGCTCCGTTTCAATCTAACCAAATAAGTGATTAAAAATAGTTGGACTTTTCCCAGCCTTTATTGATCTTTAGTCTACCTGTCATTCCATAGAGACGCTCTCTTGTGTCCTAGGCTGCAGGAACTTTATTTCATTGGTATTTTTACTTGCCTCCTGTCACTTGAATGCCTGATTGCTATTTTCTATGAAAGAGAAAAATATATTTGGTATTCATATCATGCTTCCAAGAAGTTTACAATTCGTTGGGTTAGAGAATATGTGTATGCTAATAATTAGAATTCCGAAAGGAAGAGATAGGTACGCTAATGGACTTGCAGAAGTGGGTTATAGATCTGCTACCTACAAGTGTGGTTGTGAACCTTCGCATCTGCATCAGCTGGGAGCTGCTGCTAGCATCCTCACACCAGGCCTACCGAGGCAGAATCTGCAGTTTAACCGCATACCTAGCTGACCCATCTATACCCATCATAGAGGACAGCTGTAGGTGTTTGAAAGAGGCCTTACCTATTTGTCAGTGGGAGATAAGGAAAAGTCTTCTTCAAAAAAGGTAAGAGTAGGGTCTTGAAAGGTTAAATTGGTTAAT